TAGAAAATGATATCTGACATTAATATATTAATAATCAAGTGCAATTTGAGTTAAATTTGAAAATTAAATAAATGAAAAGATGAAGGTGAATATTACAATTTATTAGTTGGGATTCAAAATCAAATTTGTTAATCAGACATACATTTGGAAAATTACTTTGATTGACATTTTAACATTTGTTTGTTATGCCACTATCCACATTGAAAGTTTATAAAACCATTGAAGAGAGGAACATCTATAAAAGACACTATCCCATATTGGAAGTTTACGAAACTATTTGAGAGAAGTGCATCTATAAAATGAGTATGACGTAATTTATGAAGCTCATTCATGAAGTTAAAATTTTTTAAACTAATAAAAAAAAGATTTTTTTTTTTTTGGGAAAACCTCTCAAAACCGCCACCGGTTCACTGGTTTACGGTGGAACTGGACGGTTCAATGAGTTTTGAGCGGTTTTGTCTTAATCAGTTAATCGGGCATGATTTGGCCCGGTTTTGGGTCCGGTTCCTGATTTTACCGATTGGGCCGGGTCGGGCTGGATCGATTTTGACAACATTGCATAATTCACAAAATATACCATACAAGTCAGTTGATTCGATTATAACTTATAAGATTCTAGATTAAAGAAAAATCAAAACCATTTTCTCACTTATTCAAAGCAAGAATAAAGATTAGAGAAAAGTAAGCTTTATTGATCAACTTAGAATCTAGTTTCCTCCATTAAATTATTCACCAGAAGATGGAATTTATTCATGGCCGAAACGTGCAAGTTAAGATTCCAGATTTATAATATATTCTTTCCACCTCAGGCAGATATTTTGTTGTATTTTTAACTAAGATTCAAGATTTATAATATATTCTTTCCACCTAATAAACTTATCCTTAATTATCAAGAAGAGCTTAAATCAATTCCTTTCGTGCAAGTACAGATATTCTTTTATGATTTTACACCATCAAAAGTCAATTTTAGTTATCCTAATTTTAAAATTATTTTAAATTCAACTTGATCTATATGAAATTTTATTTTTCTTTCTCGACCATTCTAATTATTATACGTGGAATTACAATGGTAATGGTATATTTTGGTAGATATTGAATTTTTAGATGCAACAAAATTGTATTGCAAAGCTGTCTTATGCATCATCGCAACTTGCTTAGTGATATATCTCTCGAGACTTCGTCAACCCTTGTCTTCACTCAAAAACAATTCGTATAATCACCTTACAAATAGACGCAATAGATCATTCCATCCTCACAAACTTAATATTTTAGATGAAGTGATAATTTCATAGAAGTAAGAGTTCACTTAGGGTTAGGGTCTAAAGTTCTAAATTGCAGATGATGAGTTATGTTGAATATATAATTATGTATTCCGCTCAAAAAGCTTAGTCTCATTTTAGCAAATTTATAAACGATTTATATATACGGATACTAAAAAATCCCACAAAATGTGTGAATAATAATGATTAGTAGTTATGAATGTTTGATTGAAATTAATATTTAACTTTGACTTAAATTATAAACCCAATTATAAATTGTATCCAAATGGAGGCTTAAACTTTCAAATCAATTGGACTTGACAAGTAGCACTTCAATAGAAGTCCCTGTATGGTGTAGCTAAAAATCATATTCTTAATACATTTTGATAAAAATTGTGAATTCCATGAAATGTGACTGAAAATGAGAGTTCCAAGAAAATGTACAGAAAAATAGGGACCAAGCATGGGCGAAGTCCTCATACCTACAACATGCTTATTGACTCGAACGTGAGTGATGTATCCAACGCTAATGTGGCCAACACATCATAAAAACGAGGTGGAAATGTAAACCAATAAACGGTTTATACTAGTGTATTCTTCGATCTGGTGTCAAAATTTAAGAATAATATTACATGATTTATATATTACAACATGCAACTGAGGGAATCGATGTCTCCACGGTTAAAGCCCTTGAATATTTTGTCATCGCAAAAACAAGGGTGGAACTCTGTATAATCCACCATGCTATACTCCAGGTATTTTACCAGCTGCTCATTTGCTTTTGGATCTTTGATTTGTAGGAGGACCTTCCGCCTTTGTCTGTGTAAATAGTTCTTGACGTAGAACTCTTCTTTTTACCACGAGCTGCTTGAATGGCTCGCTGTCTCTGTTTACTTAGACGCTTAAATAGTTCGGGGTTCTCAATTTGCTCGGCTTCAGAATCATGTTCACACCCGGCTTGGGAAGATTCCTCTTCTGGATTATCCTCACGCTGAATGTGTCTATCTTCTTCCACAACTTCGTGCTCAATCTGTCTATCTTCATGCTTAGGTGTATTGTCTTCTTCCTGCAAATACAAATTGTTATTTTATAATGCAGCATAAGATTTATAGAAAATAATATAAATATAAAAATGTCTTATCAGATTCTCATAATAATTTGAATCACCTCTAGGTGTTATTTTACATACATTCTCACTAGATTATAAAATCTAAATGAGATTTTTCAACCTCCTAGTTTGGACCAGAGTCGATCTTCATTACGACTGTGCATTAATGAGCTTAAAATAAATGAAAAAAAAAAAAACCAATTACAATTAATGATATGCCTAGTTATATACATGGCCGTAGTTCTTGTAATTTTTCTCAAGCTTAGGGACCAAGCAAACATCTGATTGGCAGAAGCTTCCTCATCATCTTCATATTATCCACTCAAGATAAATGACAGTAATCTTTTTAGTTCTTACTAACCCATAAATTATAAATTGAAAAAGGAGATACTCGTGATTAAAAACTTCAAATTCAAGCAATAAACATTAAATATGTGAAGAAATTACCTCCTTCAGCGAGCACTTGGAATCAAAATCCTTAATGTCTGGTTCATTTGTGCTGTCAGCAATGTATTCTTCGTCTTCTATTCCTTCAGCATCAGCATCAGAATCTGAATCCTCTTGACCATTCTCTCCAATGAACTGCATAAATACAGCATAAAACAGAACTTGAGAACAATAATCAACATCAGAAATACTAGAAAGTGCTACCAGTGAGCATTAACAGCTATAAAGAAATAAATTGAAAAGAACACCACTAGACTAGAAGTATCCAGAACTGAATAAACTATCTGATTTTTCAGTGTAAATTAATCTAGAGATATTATCGCTACCAATGACCATACACTGTTACAAACTATTATTTATTTATTATTATTTTTTTCCAGATACAATCCATCTAGATGTTAAGCCACAGACAAAATTGAATTGTAATAAATTATGATGAGATAAATGGGCCAAATGATACGTCCACAAAGGGGTTCCCACTTAACCAAATAAATGGGCTAATATCCAACTCCCAACTCCAACATGGGCTCTCCAAAAGTGTTAGTCTTTCAGGTCGAGCCAAATCTATGGTGTCGATAAATTATCCCCCGAATTTATTGGGTATCTAAGCCCATTTCAATTGTATAGAATTCTAGAAGCATTTAATCGACATAGTCATTGAAGGAATGTTTCCAGTGCGATCCTTCACTGTCCTACAGATGCTCAGCTCTTGGAACATCCTTTTGTTAAAAATACTCCTCCATCTAAAAGATCCATTTGAGTCCTGAACCTATGGAAGCCATACCTGCAGCTGGGGTACTTGTTAAAATGACCCAG